ACTCCAGGCCTTCCTCAGCTCCAGGCCCTTCCTCCGCTCCCTGGGAGGCTCCTCTTGCAATGCCTTCCTCTAAACACTGTTGCTCTGTTGTGTGCGAACTGAAGGGTTTACATGTTTCTCTCAAACACTGTTATCTGATGTCAAGCTGAGGGCCTTTAACTGTCTCCTCAAACACTGTTGTTATGGTGAACACTGAGGCTTTTACATGTTCCTCGTGAACACGTGGTTGTGTGAACTGAGGCTTTACCCATGTTCCTCTGAACCTGTTGTTGTGTGAACTGAGCGCTATGCATGTTCCTCTAGAACACTTGTTGTTGTTATGTGAATCTGGAGGGCTGTACATGGTTCCTCTAAACATCCTGTTGTCGTTGTTATGTGAATTGAGGGCTTTACATGTTCCTCTAAACACTGGTTGATAAACTGAGGGCTGTACATGTTCCTCTAACACACTGTTGTTGTTATTGTGAACTGAGGGCTTTACAATTGTCCCTCTAAAACTGTCTTTATGTGAAACTGAGAGGCTTTACATTGTTCCCACTAAACACTAATGTTGTTATGTTGAAGTGAGGCTTTCACACGTTTCCTCTAAACGCTGTTGTTTGATGAAGTGAGGGCTGTTACAACGTTTCCTCTATAACGCGTTGTTGTGTGTGAACTGAAGAAGACTTACATGTTCCTCTAAAACTCTGTTGCTTGTGCTGAAACTGAGGGCTATGCTATGTTCCTCTAAATACGCACTTTGGCTGCATCGCATGGCATACTGATGTGATACCTCATTTCCAAGCAGCTCCTAAACAGGTTTGCAGTCCCAGTTTTGATTTTGATTTCCTCTTTACCTTGGTCAGTTTGAACTTTCCAAACCAATACTTTTTTTTTTTTTTTTTTTTAGACAGAGTCTCACTCTGTCCTGCTCAGGTGGAGTGCAGCGGCCGCAATCTCAGCTCACGGCAACCTCTGCTCTCGCAGGTTCAAGCCAATCCTCCCTTCCAGCCCTCGAGTAGCTGGGATTACAGCGCAAGCCCATCCACATCCCGCCTTCATTTTTGTATTTTCAGCTAAAGATGGGGTTTCACCATGTTGGCAGACCAGCTCGAACTCCTGACCTCAGGTGACCTGCCTGCCTGGGCTCCTAAAGTGCTGGGATACAGGCGTTGATCCCCCACACCTGGAAAATTTTGGTATTTTAGTACGAGATTGGGGTTTACCATATTGGGCCAGACTGATCTCGAATGCCTGACCTCAGGGTGATCCACCCGCCTCAGCCTCCCAAAGTTTCAGGGATTACAGGTGTGAGCCACTGCGCCCAGCTGACCATTTTCTTGTTCACTTCTAATTTTACTCCACTGTGGTCCTGAACATGACTTGTATGCTATCACTTTTGATAAATGTTGAGATTTTCCTTTAGTGGCCTGTTATAGTTTAAATGTGAATGTTGCACACTGTGTGACAACAATCTCAGTTTTGTCAGGGCTCAGCTTCTTGGATTTTTACCGCCGCCGATGTTAATTGTGGCATTCAGGTTCTCTCTCTCCTTTTTATTATGCTAACTTGATCTGTCTTGTTTCTGAGAGGTCCTACCCAGGGTCTTTTTCCTTGCACAGGTCCGCACAGGTCCTGTTTTCTTACAAAAGGCCTCACTTTTTCTTCTTCTTGCATTCCCCGACCCCGCTGCCTTTAAAGAGGAAATCAAAATTCAAAATGGGAACTGCAAACTGTTTAGAGCTGCCTGGAAATGAGTGTACTACATACCAGTATGCATGGATGCAGCCAAAGTGCTATTTAGAGGAACATGCATAGCCCTCAGTTCACACAACAACAGTGTTTAGAGGAACATGTAAAGCCTTCAGTTCACACAACAACAGCGTTTAGAGGAACGTGTAAAGCCCTCACTTCACATAACAACAGCGTTTAGAGGAACGTGTAAAGCCCTCACTTCACATAACAACAGTGTTTAGTGGAACATGTAAAGCCCTCAGTTCACATAACAACAGTGTTTAGAGGAACATGTAAAGCCCTCAGTTCACATAACAACAACAGTGTTTAGAGGAACATGTAAAGCCCTCAGTTTACATAACAACAGTGTTTAGAGGAACATGTAAAGCCCTCAATTCACATAACAACAACAGTGTTTAGAGGAACATGTAAAGCCCTCAGTTCACATAACAACAACAGTGTTTAGAGGAACATGCATAGCCCTCAGTTCACACAACAACAGTGTTTAGAGGAACATGTAAAGCCCTCAGTTCACACAACAACAGTGTTCAGAGGAACATGTAAAGCCCTCAGTTCACATAACAACAGTGTTTAGAGGAACATGTAAAGCCCTCAGTTCACATCATAACAGTGTTTAGAGGAACATGTAAAGCCTTCAGTTCACACAACAACAACAGTGTTTAGAGGAAGGCACTGCAAGAGGAGCCTCCCAGGGAGCGGAGGAAGGGCCTGGAGCTGAGGAAGGGCCTGGAGTGGAGGAAGGGCGTGGAGCGGTTTGGTCAGTCTGGTCTCTTTTCCTCACCTCTCAGGTTCAGCTTAGGCCTCACCGCCACTGGGAAGCTTCTCTGACACCCACCGCCACCACAGTCTGCATTGGGTGCCCTGTCCCCAGATCCTGGGGCTTTTTGTTCACCTGTGGCTTTGCTTAAATGCGACTGAATTATAATTGCATTGTCAGCCTCTTCTCTTCCCCAGTAGAAAGTGATCTCCACTGACAGCGCTGTTTTCTTCTGTTTTATGTTCCTAATACTTAACACGTAAAAAATAGGTACTTAGGGCCCAGCACGGTGGCTCACGCCAGTAATCCCAGCACTTTGGGAGGCCATGGCAGGTGGATCACTTGAGACTAGAAGTTCAAGACCAGCCTGGCCAACATGGTGAAGGCCCTTCTCTACGAAAAGTACAAAATTTAGCTGGGTGTGGTGGTGGGCGCCTGTAATCCCAGCCACTTGGGAGGCTGAGGCAGGAGAACTTTGTGAACCTGGGAGGTGGAGGTTGCAGTGAGCCGAGATCGCGCCACTACACTCCAGCCTGGGCAACAGAGTGAGTGGGACTCCATCTCAAAAAAAAGAAAAGGTACTTAATAAACAAACAATTATTGAAGAAAACATGACCAGATGGCCTCTCTAAGGATTCTTTCAACTCAAGCATCTCTCTTTGAACAGGGGAAAGAAAGATCACCATTATAACCCAGGAGTGTTCAGGGCCGGGGATATCCTAGGACGGAGGGTCTAACTGGGGGTACATCTGCCCAGAGGGAGCTCCCTCACCAGCATAGCTGTCCCCCTCCTGAACCGCTGGGCCCTGCCCACAGTCCCCGCCCAGGAGCATCCTGTGTGCTGGTTTCTCACCCGCCCGGGAGTCAGCAGGCTTCCTGCCCCCACTGTTGCCCCAGCTGTGCAGACGTGGCCTTGCGCCCAGTCAAGTCAACACTCACTGAGCCCCACTGGCTGCGGTGCCTGGGGTGCTCCGGGTGCCTCATGGATATCCCTGTCCAGTGGAGGAAGCAGATACGCCCCTTGCTGACCACAGAGCGTGGCCCATGTGGTGAGTCACTAGAGAGGCACAGGTGGCGTCCTCTGAGTCATGGAAGAAGCAGTGATTTGTTCTTTTTGTTTTTTTTTTTTTTGAGACAGATTCTCACTCTGTCACCCACAATGGAGTGCAGTAGCATAATCTCGGCTCACTGCAACCTCTGCCTCCCGGGTTCAAGCAATTCTCCTGCCTCAGCCTCCCAAGTAGCTGGGACTACAGGCGCATGCCACCATGCCCGGCTAGTTTTTGTGTTTTTAGTAGAGACGGGGTTTCACTGTGTCAGTGAGGCTGGTCTCGAACTCCTGACTTTGTGATCCACCTGCCTTGGCCTCCCAAAGTGCTGGGATTACAGGCGTGAGCCGCCGTGCCCGGCCTTGTCCTTTTAATAATAATTTTTAAAACTTTCATGTTTTTTTCTAATCACCAGTGTAATACTGGCTTGTTATAATGAGAAATGCTCATAGTACCAGCATGTACAGGGTAAAGCTGGTCGCCACCCACCTCCCATTGCTAACAGCTGGAGGTGTGTTCTTCTGAACTCTTCTTTGCTTATACTGGTGTGCACCTGTGTGTGTGTTTCTGTGCGCATGTGTGTGTACAATGAGACTAGACTACACGTGCTGTTTTGCAACTTCAGCATTTCACTCCACAGTGGGTCTTTGAGCCCTTTGGATGTATCAGATTCTTTTTGAGATGGAATCTCGCTCTGTCACCCAGGCTGGAGTGCACTGGTGAGATTTTGGCTCACTGGAACTTCCACCTCCCGGGTTCAAGCGATTCTCCTGCCTCAGCCTCCCGAGTAGCTGGGACTACAGGCGCCCGCCACCGCGCTCAGCTAATTTTTTTATTAGCCATGTTGGCCAGCCTGGTCTCGAACTCGAACTCCTGACCTCAAACGATCCGCCCACCTCGGCCTCCCAAAGTGCTGGGATTTCAGGCGTGAGCCGCCGCGCCCGGCGGCATCAGATTCTTTTTAACAACTGCGTCCCGCTCTGTCGCTTGACTGCATGCAGATGTTTCTGGATATTTGGATGGTTTCTGATTCTTCACTCTTAGCAGGCAGGTCGACAGTAAACACCGCTGCGCGTGTGCCTCTCTGCAGTAGATCCCCTCTGGGGGGAGGGTCAGGGCAGAGTGAGTGTGCCCTGCATTGTCAGGCTTACGTCTGAAAAAGCTGTGACCGATGGCATTCCCCCCGCGGTGTGTGAGGGTGACGGTCCCCCACAGTGTCACAACACTGACTGGGAACATTCGTTACAATTTTGCCAGTCCAGTGGGTTAAAAAGAACAAAACGCTCCAGAGATGAATTCTAACTTAGGAGCTTGAGGATGGCCTTGCACGCTGAGACTTGAAGCATAATCGCGGTTAATAAAAGGGAGAGGATCCTTTATGAAATAGACAGAAACTGGGAACACTGAGGGAGCAGGCTCTGCCCACAGAGGATGAATGGCTGGTGAGGGAGGGAGGCTGAGCCGAGGGGGCCGGGTGGGTTGTCCGCGGGACAGGGGGGCCGGAACCCTGCTATGGGGGCCTCGGTGCCAGGCTAGCAGGCGGAGCTTCAGGCTGAAAGGTGTCTGAGGTTTTCCTAAGCAGGTGTCTCTGTTGTACCCAGAATTGAATGTGTGGAGGCAACAGAGTGACAGTCCCGAGAGGCTAATGCTACTGTAATATTTGTGTTATTTAGGGTTCCCAAGAGAAGGAGGCATAGCACCCCGCCCAGGGCCACGTGGGGAGGCGCCAGCTTTGAGCAGGAGGCAGGAGTGGAAGGAAAGTGTGGCCACAACTTTTCCGTGGAGAAACAGGGCAGGGCAGGGAAAGGGCTTGGCACTGGCTGGCTTCCATTACGTTGGCAGCCCTGGGCTAGAGGGGTGGTCTCTAGTGACCTGGACCCTGGCCCTGGGTAACGTGGGGCAGAGGAGATGCTGGCTGGGCGAGTGAGCGTCGGATAGAGAAGGTAGTTGGGGACATGGGCTCTGGATCAGTGGGTGTGTGAATGAGAGCTGTGCTCACAGGGCGTCACTGACAGTCTTAGAAATTAGCGAGCCCTGCGGGGGAGCAGTTTCTCACCCCGGTACCCGCCTCTCCTGCCACAAGATGTCAAAACATCATGAAATATGGAAAATGTAAAGAGCACGATTAACACACAGCGGAGTGTCGTGCTTAGTGCTGCTCGTGAGAAAGGCCCGAGTGTGAGCGAAACCCTCTGTGTCCCCGCCTCCTACAGAAAGCCAACAAAGGCCAGAGCCGGGCCATCGAGCGCCTGAAGAAGAAGATGTTTGAGAATGAGTTCCTGCTGCTGCTCAACTCCCCCACAATCCCGTTCAGGATCCACAATCGGAATGGAAAGGTCAGGAAGGGTGGGAGTGGGACCAAGACAACCCCTTCCTTAGTCCAGAGCGGCCCAGTCTATGGCTCCTGGCCCCAACCTGTAGGAACCAGAAACTCGGGCCCCTCTTCCTAAGGAGGCTGCTGTGGCTCCAGCTGTTGACTCACTCTCCCCACTTGTGTGGAATGAGTGCCCTCTGCTGGCCGTCCCTGGCACAGCTGCTCCTGTCACCTTGGCTTTCCAGGAAGGAGCTTCCCCTTCACCCACACACCCCCAGCTGCCTCCTTCTCCAAGGTCAGCCGTGCCAGGATAAGGAGGAGCTTTGGGCCGGGCAAGGTGGCTCACGCCTGTAATCCCAGCACTTTGGGAGGCCGAGGCAGGCAGATCACCTGAGGTCAGGAGTTTGAGACCAGCCTGGCCAACATGGCAAAACCCCGTCTCTACTAAAAATAGCAAAAATTAGCCGGGCGTGGTGGCGTGCACCTGTAATCTCAGTTACTCGGGAGGCCGAGGCAGGAGAATCGCTTCAGCCTGGGAGGCGGAGGTTGCAGTGAGCCGAGATTGTGCCACTGCACTCGAGCCTGGGTAACGAGTGAAACTCTGTCTCAAAAAAAAGAAGGAGCTTTGGTGGGGTCCCCAGTATCTGGGAATACGTTTGGCCTGACTGTGGTCACCCACTGCATTCTCATCTCTCTTCAGAGTTACCTGTTCCTACTGTCCTCGGACTACGAGAGGTCAGAGTGGAGAGAAGCAATTCAGAAACTACAGAAGAAGGGTAAATTCCTGCCCCTTCCACACTCCCCGAATATGTCTGTGGCAATGATGGGCCTTTTGTATTTCTAAGTATTTCGTGTCCAGTATCACGTCTTTGGCCCTCACAGTCACCCTCAAAGGTGCCGGGGGTGGGCATTTAAGGATGTTGTATATTGAGACCCGAAGAATCTAAGTGATTGGCTTAAAGACATGATGATTTAGTCCTGGGACTGGACCCAGGGCCCAGCCTGGGCTTTCTCTTTTTCTCTCTGCCCCTCTTTTTCTCTTTCTCTCTCTCTCACACACACACACACACACACACACACACCCCCCACACACACACACCACACAGGCTGGGTGCGGTGGCTCACGCCTGTAATCTCAGTCAGGAGTTTGAGATCAGCCTGGGCAACATGGTGAAACCCCATCTACTGAAAACACAAAAATTAGCCGGGTGTGGTAGCGGGCACCTGTAATCCCAGCTACTCAGGAGGCTGAAGCAGGAGAATCCCTTGAACCCGGGAGGCGGAGGCTGCAGTGAGCTGAGATCACAGCACTGCACTCCAGTGTGGGCAGCAGAGCGAGACTTCTTCTCAAAAAACAAAACCAAAACACATACACCACACACACACACACACACACACGCGCGCGCACACAACGCAAACCTCTTCAGTCAGATTCTCCTACTCTGACCCCTCTGACAGCACCTATACCCATCCCCCTGTGTCCACAAATCCTTCCCCCTCCCTCGCAGGGACCAACTCTGCCCCAGGGATTAGACCGTCTTCCTGCAGCCCCCAGGGAAGAGCAGAGGGTCCTAGTGGACCAGTGCCCACGCTCCCTTCTCTCTCGGCTCTCCCTCCAGATCTCCAGGCCTTTGTCCTGAGCTCAGTGGAGCTCCAGGTGCTCACAGGATCCTGTTTCAAGCTTAGGACTGTACACAACATTCCTGTCACCAGCAATAAAGACGGTAAGCTTGGGAACCTGAGGTTGCCCAACCGGCAGGTCCCAGCCCCCAGAGCATGGCCGGCTTCCCATAAGGACCCAGGCAGACACGTAGCTGTAAATGGCTGATCCCTGCTCGGCTGTGCTGAGACTGTTCACTGGCCAGGGACACAGAGCCTGGGTAGGGGCGACTGTCTCCTGAGTTTCCAGATGACCTGGGCTTTTCCTCGGGCCGCTCTGTCTGGCTTGGGAGAACTGGCACCCTGGTGCACTGAGATTGTGCTGTTAATATATTCATGAGAGAGTGGAGCCGGTGGATAAAACGGTGTATGGGAAATGAGGCTGGAAGTTTCCAGGGACCAGCTCTTGAAAGGCCTCAAATGCCAAGCCAGGGAGTTTGGAGTTCATCCCGTAAGTCCAGGAGTCGGGGCGGTTTCGAGCAGTGGGGAGCTGTGATCAGGGCTGGGAACTGACCAGAGTGGGTGGATTCTCGCTGCCTGTGTGCTGGGAAAGGGTTCACTTTGTGAACGGGGTTCTGAAGGCAAGCTTTCCTCGTCATAGGAGGGGCATCTAGGGACCCCTGTGTCCCAAGCGGGGGCAGAGCTGGGCCTTCTCTCTGCCATTAGCAGAATCATTTCTCATATCGGTCAGTTTTCACTGCCAGGATAGGCAGGATTCGGAGGGAGGGACCGTAGCCATGGGGAATGGTACTAAGTCCCTGGGCCAGGATGGTGGGTGTGCTGGACACCCCCAGGCTGAGTGGAGAAGAGAAGGACCCTACAGCCCTACCCCGGGCAGCTCACATCCGAGGAAGCAGTGGCCTTCGGAAACTTTCTCATCTGGCCACCAGGTGGTGATGTTGGACCAAGACTCAGCTGAGTCTCATCCCCCATCTGCCTCCCGCCGGCCTGGGGTGGAGGCCGAGGGGAGCCGCTGACCACCCTCTGCCCTGGGGGCTTTTCTCTCTTGCAGACGACGAGTCTCCAGGACTCTATGGCTTTCTTCATGTCATCGTCCACTCTGCCAAGGGATTTAAGCAATCAGCCAGTAAGTGCCCTGGCCAGGACGAGGTTGGGTGGGCCATTGTGGATCCCGCATTGCTCTGCTCTGCCCAGGATGGGGGCCTGCCAGCGCGCCTTTAGGCATGGGGTATTCCCCCGAAGGCCAGAAACCAGCTCCTCTTGGCAGGGAAGTCACCCCTGCCCTTTGTCTCCAAAGTCCTCTTTCTCAAGCCCTCCCTGAAGCTGTCTGAAACCTAGGGCCTGGGCGCGGTGGCTCACGCCTATAATCCCAGCACTTTGAGAGGCCCAGGTGGGCAGATCACCTGAGGTCAGGAGTTCGAGACCATCCAGGCCAACATGGTGAAATCTGGACCCCCCAGGCTTAGAGGGCAATGGTGCTTTTCTC